TGGCAGCACTCATACGTCTATTTCCCAAAGACAACCTCTTGATATGACGCTGAGCACGTGCACTCAACTTCTTTGGTCGACCATGGCGAGGCCTGTTCTGAGTGGAACCTGTCCTGTTAAACGCTGTATGCTGCAGCTCAGTTTCAGGGTCTTGGCAATCTTCTTATGGCCCAGGCCATCTTTATGTTGAGCAACAATTCTTTTTTTCAGATCCTCAGAGAGTTCTTTGCCATGAGGTGCCATGTTGAACTTCCAGTGACCAGTATGAGGGAGTGTGAGAGCGATGACACCAAATTTAACACACCTTCTCCCCATTCACACCTGAGACCTTTTAACACTAACGAGTCACATGACACCGGGGAGGGAAAATGGCTAATTGGGCCCAATTTGGACATTTTCACTTAGGGGTGTACTCACTTTTGTTGCCAGCGGTTTAGACATTAATGGCTGTGTGTTGAGTTATTTTGAGGGGACAGCAAATTTACACTGTTATACAAACTGTACACTCACTACTTTACATTGTAGCAAAGTGTCATTTCTTCAGTATTGTCACATGAAAAGATATACTCAAATATTTACAAAAATGTGAGGGGTGTACTCACTTTTGTGAGATACTGTAAGTCTACAGATAACAACAGGATGTGTGTGGTCATCACAGAGCTATAGCCACATGCCATTGTGTCAAGTCTTGACTCTACTCAGTAAACGTTCACTACATTTTCAAGGAAGAATGATGATGGTATTGTATTCAATACACCCTTGTTGATTCAGTGATACAGTATCTGCATCAGAAGATAATAACGCTTTCAGCTTTGATAAAATAAATTGGTTCAGTTAGGGGAAATTATAGCAGATTGTGTGATAAAGGGTATAAAAGCCACATTTATAGAGATAGGGAGGAGGCATATCATGTACATTTGGTATTGATCAAACTTCTGAATACATTTTGTATGTTTAACTACCTTGAGCAAAATAGTTACTATGATCTAAATCCCTAATACTAATAAAAACAAATAAAGTGTTAATGAGTGGTCTATAATTTTTAATTCAAAGAGAAGAGATTTATGTTTATACCAAAGAGAAGATATTTGACACATATAGTCTATGAGTATACAGTTAAACAGAAATAGTTACATTGTTTTAATTGTACAAAACCTTAGCATAAAACTATTTTTATAATGTTACTTTTCTTTTTTTACACACTCAACTGAACTTCATCATACCAAATAAATTGCCGGACTGAATAAGGGCACATCTAAACAGACTTCTGAAGTGGTACAAAATGTTCCATTATTGAAAGCTATGAATAGCATTAAAATCAAGTCTTCACCTTGGTGTGAGGATGACAATAACATGACATGATGTGTCATTTGAAATTGAACCCCTTCAAATAGTCTATCTATCCCCAACCAAGCTGCGCCTACGCTTTTAAACATGAGACAATAGAAATACATGTATTGTGTTGTTCTCACCTTCAGTAAAGCCTCTTCAGGCCACCTCCATCTCGCTGACAGCTCCACTTACAGACAGGCTGCTGTGACAGAGCTGTTAAGGGGGAGAGTAGAAAGAGCTTCCTGTTTCTAACTGAACTCCACACCACATCCGTCCTGATCAGCGGGCTGGACAGAAAGTATTGTCGACCACCTCTAAAGGGTGCCCTACATCACTGTGGTTTAACGAGGGTGCAAGAAATGACACCTTTCAGTGCATGCTTTAGGGAGAGTACCCTGATGTACAGTTGAAGTCGTAAGTTTACATACACTTAGGTTGGAGTCATTAAAACTCGTTTTTCAACCACTCCACAAATGTCTTGTTCATAAACTATAGTTTTGGCAAGTCGGTTAGGACGTCTACTTTGTGCATGACACAAGTAATTTTTCCAACAATTGTTTACAGACAGATTATTTCACTTATAATTCACTGTATTACAATTCCAGTGGGTCAGAAGTTTACATACACTAAGTTGACTGTGCCTTTAAACAGCTTGGAAAATTCCAGAAAATGATGTCTTGGCTTTAGAAGCTTCTGATAGGCTAATTGACATAATTTGAGTCAATTGGAGGTGTACCTGTGGATGTATTTCAAGGCCTACCTTCAAACTCAGTGCCTTTTTGCTTGACATCATGGGAAAATCAAAAGAAATCAGCCAAGACCTCAGAATTTTTTTTTTAGACCTCCACAAGTCTGGTTCATCATTGGGAGCAATTTCCAAACGCCTGAAGGTACCACGTTAATCTGTAGTAACAATAGTACGCAAGTATAAACACCATGGGACCACGTAGCCGTCATACCACTCAGGAAGGAGACGCGTTCTGTCTCCTAGAGATTAACGTACTTTGGTGCGAAAAGTGCAAATCAATCCCAGAACAACAGCAAAGGACCTTGTGAAGATGCTGGAGGAAACGGGTACAAAAGTATCTATATCTAGTCTTATATCGACATAACCTGAAAGGCCGCTCAGCAAGGAAGAAGCCACTGTTCCAAAACCGCCATAAAAAAGCCAGACTTCGGTTTGCAACTGCACATAGGGACAAAGATCGTACTTTTTGGAGAAATATCCTCTGGTCTGATGAAACAAAAATAGACCTGTTTGGCCATAATGACCATCGTTATGTTTGGAGGAAAAAGGGGGACGCTTGCAAGCCGAAGAACACCATCCCAACCGTGAAGCACGGGGGTGGCAGCGTCATGCTGTGGGGGTGCTTTGCTGCAGGAGGGACTGGTGCACTTCACAAAATAGATGGCATCATGAGGAAGGAAGATTATGTGGATATATTGAAGCAACATCTCAAGACATCAGTCAGGAAGTTAAAGCTTGGTCGCAAATGGGTCTTCCAAATGGACAATGACCCCAAGCATACTTCCAAAGTTGTGCCAAAATGGCTTAAGGACAACAAAGTCAAGGTATTGGAGTGGCCATCACAAAGCCCTGACCTCTATCCTATAGAAAATGTGTTGGCAGAACTGAAAAAGCATGTGCGAGCAAGGAGGCCTACAATCCTGACTCAGTTACACCAGCTCTGTCTGTAGGAATGGGCCAAAATTCACCCAACTTATTGTGGGAAGCTTGTGGAAGGCAACCCGAAACGTTTGACCCAAGTTAAAAAATGTAAAGGCAATGCTACCAAATACTAATTGAGTGTGTGTAAACTTCTGACCCACTGGGAATGTGATGAAAGAAATAAAAGCTGAAATAAATCATTCTCTCTACTGTTATTGGCTAATGTGTATGTAAACTTCTGACTTCAACTGTACATAGAACATAGTTTTTGAATGGACTTTGTAATTTGCTTTGTCGTAACTGTAGAAATATTTCAGTGTTCTTCACTACTGGTCCTAGGGGTCCTCACATTGCAGGTACTGTAGTGTGGCCCTCCGGGACCAGGGATGAAAAACACTATACAATGCAATACAGCATGAATTTAAAAGTATGTTATTCATGGAAAACATTGCTAATGACTGTTGCTGTTGTTTATGAAGACGTCTGTGGAGAAAACATCCAGTTGTAAAGAGAAATGTTTCCAAACGGATGCCCTTATTATGTGATTAGGTTATTACCAATTATGTATATAAACCCTGGATTGTTGATTATATTTATTGGCCAATGAGAGGCTTTGAGGCCACCGGCCACATATTGTTACTACTCAGAAAGAGCAGTCCTCAAAAGGAATGTCATTCCATAGTATTTCAATAAAATGTTTCAAGGACAAAATTACATGTAATTACGTTTTTTTTTTGTAGTGGGGACAGTAACATTCAGGGCCGGATTAATGCAGGGTCTTACGGGGGGGGGGGGGGGGGGGGGGGAGAGCTTAAGAGCTTCTGCTAAATGACTCCAATGTAAAATAAATTAATTTTTATAGCTTCCAAAATATTTTTTACAATGTACTTTGTGTACAATACACAACACATTTATTGTGTACAACATGACAATACATTTATTGTATGTACAACGTAATCTGAGTACAAAAATGGCTGCGCAGCGGCTCCAAAACAGCGCCCCCTTTTAGTCATCTAGGGTACATTGACATCATTGGTTATTACACAGGTGTAAACCAGCCAGTTTGTAGTCCTAGGACCCGGAAATGAGTTACATATGCTTCATTCAGCCATTCCTATGGGGAAAATGAATGTGGAAAGAATAAGGTTTTGGGATAAACGCCGAAAACAAGGTCTGAGGTTAAGACAAGCTACGTTTTGTTCTATGATATAATATCAGTCAGTTAACATGACCTTTATGAATTATGAAGCCTTTATGTGCTTTGTTTTGTAGGCCTATATAAATGCTTCAAAATTCACAAAAAGTTGACGTTAGCTGAGGAAGACTATCTCATAGAACAAAACATATAAGATATCCTAAACCTGTGTTTACCACATACCTTATTTTCAGCGTTTATCCAAAAACCCTACAAAAACTCAATTAATTTCATAGGCTGGTCTCTACAAAAAGACGCCATTAGTAGTAGTTTGGGAAATTCTGCCCTGGCTTTCTGAATTAAATGAAAATTCTTCAATTAAATTAGTGCCTACAAAAAGACGCCATTAGTAGTAGTTTGGAAAATTAAGCCATGGCTCTTTCTGAATTAAGTCTATATTCTTAAATTATTTACAAAAAAACGCCAAATAGTCTGTGAATCTGCGAATATGACCAAACGTATATTTTGCTTCATAGGACACATGTTACAGATTAGGCTACAGAAAGCATGAGTTCAAAGATTTTATGCTGAAGCAGCCATGATCATCATACACCACAGAGTAGGCTACAAAGGCTGTGTTTACACAGGCAGTTCAATTCTGATCTATTTCCACTAATTTGTCTTTTTGACCAGTCAAGATCAGCTATTTTGCGAATAATTGGGTAAACGGTCAGAATTGGGGTGCCTGTGTAAACCAGCAAAGAGCTGACAAAAACTGGTTGGCTCGTGAATAAAGGGTACTTCCCTTGAACCCGGAAGAAGTAAGTTTTTTTTTTTTTTTTTTTTTTTTAGCTGCTGGGGTCACGCACGTTTCTCTCCAGACTGTCACATGGCATGCTTGGCCACTGCAATGCATGAAGATATGGGGGAGATAGAAAATGAACCAGTGCGACCAAAAATTACGGATGCAAAGGGTATTCTCCAACAGAATCGCGAGTTCCTGGACTTCTTCTGGGATATCGCTAAACCTGAACAAGAGATACGGTTGAAGTCCATTGAAAATCTCATACAATATCTGAAGAAGAGTGAAAAGGTTGGTGTGTTTGGGTCTGCTCTCAGTTGCTAGCTAGCTAACAGCTAGCTACGCAGTTAGCTAACATAGCCTACTTATCTTGCTAAACTAGCTAGATAGCTGGTTAGCAAGGCACCTTTTACTGTTGGTGGGTGTTGCACTTTAGAGAAACACATAACGTTATCCATTTCCAGTTTGGTACAGCTGTAAAACGCTGAGCAGTATGGCTAGCTAGTTGGGCTAACGTTAGCTAACTACTGAAGATGCCCAGGAATATTCTTTCACACATTGCCACGTGTGTTGAGAGCTTTAATTGCTGGCATGTTTCTTACTCCTATCAATTTGAGTTGTCAAACTCTCGTTAGAAGGGGTAGGTGCTACCACACGTACTTTTTATGTTAACTTTATGGAGCCATCCAGTTCTTGACATTTAGCCCAAATGTGTTGTCTTTCCTTTTATAGCCAGATGAGCTGAAGTACACTCTGAAGAGACTGGTGGATGGCTTGGCACACACCAGAGAGGCTGCCCGGCCAGGCTTCAGTTTGGCTTTGGGACAGGTAATGCAATCAAAAACGCATATTTTGACAAATGGGTAAAATAATGTCAAATGTGTAGATAGTCCTCTAAGAAAACCAATGGTCAACATCTCATGTCGCCATCATAATCCTTTCAAAAGTTATTGGAGTTTTTACCCTTGTAAGATGGCCAAAATTAGGGTGACTAAATCAATGAAGGCCAGAAGAAAAAAAAGGAGTCAAAAAAAAGGAAAATTGCACAGCATCATGTCAGCTAGGCTGGATGCTGTGTGAGAATGAAGGCTACCTGACAGGCTCACTGCCCTCTTGATCATCATCATTCTTCTCAAATCCACAGGACATAAAACAATATAGAGGTAAGATAGATATCGATTTTGAGACATGTAGTAGTTTTGTATACAGTTTTCATATTGATGCGAATTTCCTGTTCCTTTTCAAAGATTTCAAACAAAAACAAGTGTATCTCGGTGAAATGTCAATGGAGCACTGAGCGTACAGCAAGCTTTTTTATTCTCAAATCCTTTTACATTTAATTCAGCTAGTATCATGCTAATGTAGGTTTTTGCGACATACGGAAAGAACTTTGAAGATGACCTCAACATGTAAAAGCCTCAAAAGTTGCAGTGAGAAAGCTGCACTGCTCTGTCAACAGAGTTCGGTGCTTATTATCGGATGTATTAGGTTACGAAATCCGACTTTTTGGATATACTGTTAATGAAAAGACCCCACTGAACGATTCAGAACATGAGAAATCATATTTGTCTTGGTAAACTGTATTTTTTAACATAAGGAAGGGAAATTTCATCGCCAAAGTGTGTTTTCACCCACTCATGGCAGTGGGTGGACACCCTACTATACATCTAATGTCTCGCCAACATCCTGTGTCTTTGTACATGTCTTTCATTTACATTACATTTACGTCATTTAGCAGACGCTCTTATCCAGAGCGACTTACAAATTGGTGCATTCACCTTATAGCCAGTGGGATAACCACTTGACAATGTTTTTTTGTTTTTTTTGGGGGGGTGGGGTAAGGGGGGAGTAGTCTTTCGAATGAGTTATTAAGGTGTTACTACATAACATGTAAGAAGATGTGACTTATGCATCATTTCTGTCAGGTCCTGAGCGTGTTTGAGGAGGTATCTCTGCGTACTGCATTTGATCAAATCAAAGAGAAGCACAACTTGGCGACAGTGAAAAAGGTGAGCATGTGATGTGACTAAAGTTAGATGCTGTGTACCATGGTAAATATTTACTAGTCATTTTACTAACATCCATATACTTAATGTAATCGGCCAATGAAGATCTCCATTTTGTACTGTATCTTGTGTTGACGTTTATGTTCATGTTGACAGAAACTCATCAGAAATGCTGCTTTTGGGAACTTATTTGGTGTGCTCGCCCTGTCCCAGTCCACACGCCTTCCAAAGGTAAGAATGACACCAGGTAACCCAAGGGCTTGGCAGATAAGACTAATATACCATGTTTGGCGCAGAGAATGGAGGAGCACATAGACGGGTTGGTTGTTTAGCAACAAAACTGACGGGTGCGGAACTATGGGGCAAAACAGACGGTGTTGGCTTAGACTGTTGACAAGTAAACTAGACTGAACAAAAATATAAACGCAACATATAAAGTGTTGGTCCCATGTTTCATGAGCTGAAATAAAAGATCCCAGAAATGTTCCATACGCACCAAAAGCCTTTTTCTCTCAAATGTTGTGCACAAATTTGTTTACGTCCCTGTTGGTGAGTATTTCTCCTTTGCCAAGATAATCCATCCACCTGACAGGTGTGGCACATCAAGAAGCTGATTAAACAGCATGATCATTACACAGGTGCACCTTGTGCTGGGGACAAAAGGCCACTCTAAAATGTGCAGTTTTGTCACACAACACAATGCCACAAGTTTTGAGGGAGCGTGCAATTGTCCTGCTGACTGCAGGACTGTCCACCAGAGCTGTTGCCAGAGAATTGAATGTTCATTTCTCTACCATAAGCTGCCTCCAACGTTGTTTTAGAGAATTTGGCAATACGTCCAACCTGCCTCACAATCGCAGACCACGTGTATGGCGTCATGTGGGCGAGAGGTTTGCTGATGTGAACAGTGTGCCCCATGGTGGGGTTATGGTATGGGCAGGCGTAAGCTACGGACAATGTACACAATTGCATTTTATTGATGGCCATTTGAATGCACAGAGATACCGTGACGAGATCCTGAGGCCCATTGCCGTGCCATTAATCAGCCGCCATCACCTCATGTTTCAGCATGATAATGCAGGGCCCCATGTTGCAAGGGTCTGTACACAATTTCTGGAAGCTGAAAATGTCCCAGTTCTTCCATGGCCTGCATACACACCAGACATTTTGGAAAATATTTTTTTACGCCTTTTTCTCCCCAATTTCGTGATATCCAATTGGTAGTCTTGTCCCATCGCTGCAACTCCTGTACGAACTCGGGAGAGGCGAAGGTCGAGAGCCATGCGTTCTCTGAAACACGACCCTGCCAAGCCGCACTGCTTCTTGATACGCTGCTCGCTTAACCCGGAAGCCAGTCGCACCAATGTGTCGGAGGAAACACCGTACAACTGGCGACCATGTCAGCGTGCATGCGCCCGGCCCGCCACAATACTCACCAGAATTTTGTTTACATTTTAGTCATTTAGCAGACGCTCTTATCCAGAGCGACTTACAGTTAGTGAGTGCATACATTATTATTTTTATTATTATTATTATTTTCATACCCCCTGTGGGAATCGAACCCACAACCCTGGCGTTGCAAACGCCATGCTCTACCAACTGAGCTACATCCCTGCCGGCCATTCCCTCCCCTACCCTGGACGACGCTGGGCCAATTGTGTGCCGCCCCATGGGTCTCCTGGTTGCGGCCGGCTACAACAGAGCCTGGATTTGAATCAGGATCTCTAGTGGCACAGCTAGCACTGCGATGCAGTGCCTTAGACCACTGCGCCACTCGGGAGAACTGTCACCCATTCAGCATGTTTGGGATGCTCTGGTTCCAGTTAAAGCCAATATCCAGCAACTTCACACAGCCATTGAAGAGGAGTGGGACAACATTCCAATGGTCACAATCAACAGCATGATCAACTCTATGTGAAGGAGATGTTGTGCTGCATGAGGCAAATGGTGGTCACACCAGATACTGACTGGTTTTCTGATCCACGGCCCAATATATATTTTTTTTTAAGGTATCTTTGACCAACAGATGCATATCTGTATTCCCAGTCATATGGAATCCATAGATTAGGGCCTGATTAATTTATTTCAATTGACTGATTTCCTTAAACAGTGGGGAGAACAAGTATTTGATACACTGCCGATTTTGCAAGTTGTCCTACTTACAAAGCATGTAGAGGTCTGTAATTATTATCATAGGTACACTTCAACTGTGAGAGACGGAATCTAAAACAAAAATCCATAAAATCACATTGTATGATTTTAAAGTAATTAATTTGCATTTTATTGCATGACATAAGTATTTGATCACCTACCAACCAGTAAGAATTCCGGCTCTCACAGACCTGTTCATTTTTCTTTTAAGAAGCCCTCCTGTTCTCCACTCATTACCTGTATTAACTGCACCTGTTTGAACTCGTTACCTGTATAAAAGACACCTGTCCACACACTCAATCAAACAGACTCCAACCTCTCCACAGTGGCCAAGACCAGAGAGCTGTGTAAGGACATCAGGGATAAAATTGTAGACCTGCACAAGGCTGGGATGGGCTACAGGACAATAGGCAAGCAGCTTGGTGAGAAGGCAACAACTGTTGGCGCAATTATTAGAAAATGGAAGAAGTTCAAGATGACGGTCCATCACCCTCGGTCTGGGGCTCCGTGCAAGATCTCACCTCGTGGGGCATCAATGATCATGAGGAAGGTGAGGGATCAGCCCAGAACTACACGGCAGGACCTGGTCAATGACCTGAAGAGAGCTGGGACCACAGTCTCAAAGAAAACCATTAGTAACGCACTACGCCGTCCTGGATTAAAATCCTGCAGCGCACGCAAGGTCCCCCTGCTCAAGCCAGCGCATGTCCAGGCCCGTCTGAAGTTTGCCAATGACCATCTGGATGATCCAGAGGAGGAATGGGAGAAGGTCATGTGGTCTGATGAGACAAAAATAGAGCTTTTTGGTCTAAACTCCACTCGCCGTGTTTGGAGGAAGAGGAAGGATGAGTACAACCCCAAGAACACCATCCCAACCGTGAAGCATGGAGGTGGAAACATCATTCTTTGGGGATGCTTTTCTGCAAAGGGGACAGGACGACTGCACCGTATTGAGGGGAGGATGGATGGGGCCATGTATCGCGAGATCTTGGCCAACAACCTCCTTCCCTCAGTAAGAGCATTGAAGATGGGTCGTGGCTGGGTCTTCCAGCATGACAACGACCCGAAACACACAGCCAGGGCAACTAAGGAGTGGCTCCGTAAGAAGCATCTCAAGGTCCTGGAGTGGCCTAGCCAGTCTCCAGAGCTGAACCCAATAGAAAATCTTTGGAGGGAGCTGAAAGTCCGTATTGCCCAGCGACAGCCCCGAAACCTGAAGGATCTGGAGAAGGTCTGTATGGAGGAGTGGGCCAAAATCCTTGCTGCAGTGTGTGCAAACCTGGTCAAGACCTACAGGAAACATATGATCTCTGTAATTGCAAACAAAGGTTTCTGTACCAAATATTAAGTTCTGCTTTTCTGATGTATCAAATACTTATGTCATGCAATAAAATGCAAATTAATTACTTAAAAATCATACAATGTGATATTCTGGATTTTTGTTTTAGATTCCGTCTCTCACAGTTGAAGTGTACCTATGATAAAAATTACAGACCTCTACATGCTTTGTAAGTAGGAAACACTGCCGATTTTGCAGCTTATCAAATACTTGTTCTCCCCACTGTATGAACTGTACCTCAGTAAAATAGTTAATTGTTGCGTTTATTTTAGTTCAGTATATATTTAGTCTCCAAACGTTTATTGAAAACATAAATCCATTTGCACAATGAGCACTTGTCTCTCAAATACATTGTTAGTTGTTGGTTAGATAGCTAGCGAATCTTAGCCATATTAGCATAGACATGACATCAGTCAAAACACCTCAAAACAAGACATGGTATCAATAGCAAGATACAATGAGCTGAAACGAGCCACCTACGATTCCCCACGACAGCTTCTTGTCATTGTTGCTAGCTATCTGACCATTCAGAATCATAACACACGCCTTCCGGGCTCGTCGATGCTTGTATTATTTTCATGATGTCAGCCAACCCGTCTATGTCCCTCTATTGTTACTGCAGAACCTAGATCAGTCTCTACTTTTCAGACTTCAGTGTGTGTTTTGGTATGCTAACTTACCTGTGTGTGTGTGTGTGTGACAGGAGCCTCAGGTGGTGCTGGAGTGTGTCCAGCTCCTCCAGAGCCTCTCGCTGCACAGAGAACACCTGCGGGACCTGCCCAGGAAGACCATGGTGGACATCCTGTCTGAGGTGAGTGACTCAGCCAGCTCTATTTCATACTGTATCACTCTTTTCATGGTCCAACGTTAACATTTTCTCATTGGCCCGGTCTGAAATATCTACTGGGCCGAACATATTTTCTATTGGCCCGTACATGGTGTAGTTTTTAAATGCTTTGGGGCCACGCAGGGCCTATAGGTTGGCATGCTTTCTCTCTATATTCAGCTATTAATAGGCTATATCTGGTTATTATGGTATGTATTAAAAAGTTGTGTAATTTAATTTAGCAATGTAAGTCATTACTCCATTCTTTAGAATTGTATTGTATTAATTGCACACATTTTTGTTTCTAAAGAATGTCATTTTGAGTAGATTTTTTTCTACATTTCAAAATAGGACACTGCCCCTTTAAGACGTTCTGCGGTCCAAAAGAGATATCGTCATGGCTACAGTAGGCTAGCCAAAACGAATGCTAGGTGTCTTTTTGTAGCTTTTTTTTGTTTTGCGGACTATCAACAGTAGCCAGCATATTACTAGTATGTTCACTATTGAAGGTTTACTTTCGTAAATCACGTAAAGCACAGGGAGTAGATTGATGGGCGCTTGTTTTTGCTCTGGACAGCTTGCGTGTGCTGTGTGTAAAGACATCAACTCATGTACTGCTCAAGAAGTTGTGACTAGCGGAAGCGTGGTGGTGCTTGAATGAATGGCCAATCATATTGCTCAAATACAAATAGCTTTTCCGCGTGTAGTCTTCAATGGTTTAAAATGGTGGACTGCGACATAGCAGGTAAATGTTGATCTGGAACATGCTGAGAAGTTACTGGCCCGACGAGATCCACTGGCCCTTACACATGCTTTTACTCGCCCCGGGCCAACTTTAATGTTGGACCCTGCTTCTAATGGTGTCCCAATGTGATAAATCCTGGTGTGGAAGGTTGCAGTCAGTATGACCTGTGTGTTGTTTGGTGTGTGTGTGTTTCTCCAGACGTCAGAGGAGGTGTTTGAGGAGGTGTTGCTGGGAGCTCTGCAGACAGACCTGTCCTCCGCCTTCAGCACCCCCGAGCAGCTGCAGCTTCTCCTGGTGGCCATGCAGAAGTTCCCCCAGGTGCTCAAGCCCAAGAAGCTGAAGAAGCTGCTGGGCACCTCCACAATCATTACCATGGACAATATCCCTAAGTGAGCAGCTTTTTACGACTAGGTCTAGGTTATTTTCCACGGTCAGGGTGACACACACACACACACACCTTTAATAAATGTACAATCAAAACCTGTGTTTCCTCTCCTCTAGGTTAACAGAAGTACTGAAGATGGCAGCCCGCTCTGTCAAGAAGGACCGCCTGCTGCCTCCGGTGGCTCTGGACCTGCTGCAGATCTCTCTGAAGGAGGACAACTTTGAGCTCTTCTGGAGGGAAACAATCATCAACGGAATGTTGAAAGACCAGCCAGGGCCCACACAGTAAGCACAGAACTGGGGTTAAAAGACTATTGCTCCCCACTTACATTTGGACCCTGAACCCAAATATTAGCTGATTGAACTAAGTTCTGTAGCCTAGACCCCTGTAATTTTTCACATTTTTTTTTTTTTTTTTTTACATTTTTATTGCAAGCATTTCCTCCCATGTATGTTCCTGTTTTCCTTCCTTTGTGGCAAATGTCCATAGCTGTGCCAACAGTCTGTCTTCTCTGTGCCACAGTTACCTGAGCTACCGGCTGCTGGGCAGTGCCCTGCCCTTGCTGAGCCTGGCCCAGCTAAAACAGGTGCTAAATGGAGAGGTGATGAGGGCCTACGGTGAACACGTGGTCTCTGCTCAGGTCAGTCTCTCCACAAATGCACCAGGTCATAGAAATACATAGTAAAGCTGCAGGCATCTTAGTTGGTCACAAAAAATGTGTAGTAAGATGCTCACTTATCCAAAAAGTTAGTTTATAATGTATTGACTTACAAGTATGCACTCACCTCGCCCCCTCAGCTCCCAGACCGCTTCAAGTTTGCCCCCGAGATGGAGACGTACGTGGGCGACTTCCTGCAGGGCTGCGATGACCCGGAGAAGCAGCTGGCGGTGATGGTGGCCTTCTCCCTGCTCACCAACCAGGGCTACCCCGTGGTGCCCTCCTTCTGGAGGGTTGTGCAGCATCTGCGGCCCACCGCCCTGCAGAGCTACGTGGACTGGCTCAAAGAGATGTTCCTCAACCCCCAGCTGGACAGCTGCCTGGACTTCAGCACCCGCAGGCAGAAGGAGAACCAGGAGGGCGGAGTCCAGTGAGTAGAACCCTTATAACATGTCATAACTATTAATATATAGCTAGAGAAAGAAGCATTTCGCTACACCCGCATTAACATCTGCTAAACACGTGTATGTGACCAATAAGATTTGATTTGATATGCCTTTCCAATGAATTGTTGACTCTCTATCCTTAGGAGAGAGAACTGTATATTCCGCCTGAGGAAATGGATCATTCCGCGCCTCACCTCCATCGTGGAGAACAACCAGGTGAAGAGAGAGGAGGATCTAGTGATGGATGTAGCTAGGTGAGAGATCTCACTGCAGGGAAAAGATCATGTCACTAACTGTTTGCTGCTCCAAGAAATGTTAAATGATGCCTTGGTGGTATCACTTGTGGGAGAAGCAAAGGGTTATCTTTTTCCTGTACCAAGTTGGATGTGCGTAATCTTTTCAACATTTATATCATTTCAACCAATGTATTCTGAAGGGCAGTTTATATTAGTAATGTAGCATATATGCTAGGGATGTAACGATTCACTGATGATGTAACGATTCACCGATGATGTAACGATTCACCGATACGCACCGGTTCCTGATTCAAATTTTTAAGATACAAGTGCATTTGTCCACGGACCCCAACCGAATCCAAATGTAGCATGCATCGGTCAGAAAATCGATTCAAATGTTACGAATCGCCAGTTCACATTTTTTTGTTGCTCATTTTCCATTCTTTCTCTCTTCTGAAAATACCTCCTCTTTTGTGACAACTGATGAGTGCTCTCCTACAGTGTCGAACTGCATTTAACGGTTGACAGTCATTGATCTACAAGTCATTTTGCATGCCGAACAACCCCAGACAATATCAGTAGCCTAGTCAATCTGCCCAGCATCGTTCGCTGACCAACGTGAGGTAGGCGGCCTGTTCCTGATCTTCCACATCTGCACAACACCTTCAGCATTCAAATGCTAAAATGGCTTGTGTGATATTAGGCTTTATTAGTTGAGTGACAATCAATATAATTTGCTAGGTTATTGTTATCTATGCGCTGTTGAAAATTGTGTTTTACCGGAATAAAAGTAAACTACGGGAGACACAACTCTCATCTGGCTATACCTGCTGAACAAGGCTTACAATATATTTTATTTTCGTTGTTCAGGTTAACCATCAGCAATAGTTTTACTTTATAAACAATCAGTGGATATTAGGGATAAATATTTTTCCTGAAAATTCACCACGCTTCCATCCTGGGAATAATTCATATTTATCTAGAGTCCCGGGAAATACCGCAAATCGTTTGTGCCCATTTTACATTTTTAGTCATTTAGCAGACACTCTTATCCAGAGTGACTTACATTTACATTTACATTTTAGTCATTTAGCAGACGCTCTTATCCAGAGCGACTTACAGTTAGTGAATACATCTTTTTTTTTTTTTTTTTTTATATACTGCCCCCCCGTGGGAAAACGAACCCACAACCCTGGCGTTGCAAACGCCATGCTCTATCAACTGAGCTACATCCCTGCCGGCCATTCCCTCCCCTACCCTGGACGACGCTGGGCCAATTGTGCGCCGCCCATGAGTCTCCCGGTCGCGGCCGGCTGCGACAGAGCCTGGATTCGAACCAGGATCTCTAGTGACACAGTTAGCACTGCGATGCAGTGCCTTAGACCACTGCGCCACTCAGGAGCTAGTGTCACTAGAGAGTTAGTGAGTGCATACATTTTTTTACAGTTAGTGAGTGCATACATTTTTCATGCTGGCCCCCTGTGGGAATTGAACCCACAACCCTGGCGTTGCAAGTGCCATGCTCTACCAACTGGCCTTTAGCGTTTAAAACCAAGATATGGTCACTATGCCAGGGTTCTCCCCAAATAAGAGGGGCGCTGCGGCACCTCGTCGGATTGGCTGCGCCATTACGTAAAGATTTCAAAGCAAATTAAACTGATATTTAGTAACGATAAAAGTAACTGTCTTTGATCGCCAATAACATTGTTGTGAACTGCGAAACAGGCAGTTCATAAATTCCAAGCGTTATCATGTTCCTCTATTAATTCAGCACATTTCAGCAGTAGGCTATCTCAACACCGAGCGCGCTCAGGAGTAGGCATATAGCGTTGTCGAATCATACAAACTTTGTAATGGCACTTACAAACAAAAGTCAAATGACCAAATTTGCTAAGCTTGCTAGATAACCTCCTTCAACGAATGACAGAATATCTCCTATATTTAGAAAAATTGAGTTGATGACTATACAGATGGCAGATCAGCTCATGAATAATGGGGAGATGAAGAGTGGAAAAAGTTTAAATATGAAAGTATCTTAACGGAGACTAACTCTGTAAAAAAAATTTTTTTAATCTACTCTCATACTGTTTTGTTGATCACACATTCTCTACCGAAGCTCACATATGGGCAGCAAGTACGAGACAGTGCAGAGAAGTGGGGGACATGTTACAGCTGTATTTTTGAAATGAATAGGCGAGAGACTTGCTTTGATAATGCAACCTATGGATTACAGAATAGAGTTAGAAATGTTAATGCGAGTCAGGATTTTGGGTTTTATTGGGACTGGATAGGAAAATAGCCATGGCTCTAGGAGAGGAGAAGATAACAATTCAAAGGCATGAGAGAAAGTGTTAAGGCAGAGATGCCTATGTAGTGAATTGTGCATAGACCTATCAAATGTGAAGAGTCACGCTAACTAGGTGTCCATCCAACCTTTTTATGAGTAAAGTACATGTCAGATAAACGTCATGATGGGAGGTGAGAAATAATAACATCATATCGAAGTAAACCGTCACGCGATGACATCTTGTGTGGTCCTCCCACTACGCCGCCTCAGGAGAGCATGCAATTTATTAGGCTACATATGAAACAAGTTATGATCAACTTCACAGGGTGGTGAAAGTGCAAGGTGATGAGCTTGATGCTTCTTTCCAATAAATATCGAGGATCTTATTCTGATGACATGATCATCGATGCTTGGCTGCCATTTGACAAATACAAATCATCTCGCTCTTTTGTCCATAATAATCTCATCATGTAGGCTATACGTGCACTGTAGCCAACAGCACGCAGATATAATACCAGTGGGCACACTTTCTATATAACATTTTTTGTGAGAACCATGAGTATAGTTGAAAATCTGATAGAAACCCATTTAACTTGTATTTCTTTATTCGGTACATGGGAATTTAACCGCAACATTTATTTTTATGTGCACTACGTCATCACACACAGCTTTTTATCTGCTACCTGTACATTTGATGGTAACACATCTGGTGGGAAAATGTGCATTGTTTTTATGCAGATTTTAGAATATTCGCATTAAAATCTTTCGCCAATTGGATGGAAACCTAGCTAATGACAGCTCAAAGAGGTGCACGTTATTTTATAGGCTATACTGTAGGGGTTTCCTGTAGGGTTTATTAACTGCATTCGTGTCGCGTTTGCAGTCCGGCAGTGTCAACTGTGAATGTGCTTTGAGTTTATGGGGACTTAGTGTGAAGTAAATACTTTAGGCTAAAGGCTTCCATGCCACAACCTGTTTGGATAATGTGCTATTTAATGGTTTATTTTGGAGGGGGGTTCAAATACAAAATTGTGCTATATATTCATTGGTCATAGCTAATTTGTAAACCATAAAGATTGATACATTACTAGCTCAAACACTTACTGTAATCTGCAAAAATGACAAGTTAATTAGTGGGTGATGGTGATTTTAGAACCAAAGTGGGGGGGACAAAAAACTAAATTGTACCCCCCCCCCCCCCAATCTGGTAGTGGCGTGGTAGATGCCTAGTCTCCCTTGTGGCTCAGCTCAGTGCCTACATAGTACATACACCATAGACATATACATAATACACACACAAGTCAGCTCAGACAGATCCAGCTCAGAGAGACCCAGCTCCATCAGCATCAGATTTGAATTTACAATGAAAAATGAATGTGTTTATGCAACAAATGTTAGTGCATCATATCGGAGCACATGTATTGAATTATCTTGAGAGGGAAAGATGCACATCCCCAATAGATGCTAACCCATTGTTTTATCCTCCATTGCACCAGGTTTGTCTTTTTCCATGCTTTCTTTAATGCTAAGAAGGCCACCCCAGACATACCGGAGACAGAAGCCACTCTGTCAGTGCCCCTGGATGAGAAGACCAGAGCCATCATCATCAACTCCTTCTTTGGGTGAAATAAGACTTCTTTACACTATCACTTTACCAAACACAAGCTGTGGGGTAGTCAAAGATGAAGATCATGGCTGGAATAGTCGGTTAAGTTTTAAACGTATGGTTTTAAAGGGGCAATTACATGAAACGCCACAGCATGAGTGTTCATTTCTGTTACTCTACACACCCTATTAACACGTCTCTCTAATCTCCCAACCCCTTCAGACTGCTGCAGCACATGAACCACCTGCCTTTGCTGGGCGACTCCCCCGAGGTGGCGGGCCGCAACCAGAGGCACGTGCAGGGTGTGACGGGTGACGGCTCCATGTGGATCTACTGCCTAGTGCAGTACGCTGACGCCCTGCTCAACCAGCCCAAGTATGCCCAGAGCACCCAGCCCTTCAGCCCTGAGCAGAGACATTCCTGGGACAGGTACAGACCACACTGACTGTACATGGACCATGTAGAGATGGGGGATTTAAAGGTTGGTGTAAGAAATGTAACCCAATAGTGAACCTGTTGTTATGATATATCTAGTATGCTGGCGTCAGTAGGGACTCTAATGAAGAAATCTAAGAAAGGCCAGACTCCAGAGACCTCTGCATTCCAACAACTCTTCCTGCTGGTTGGCATTCACCTCTTCAAGGTAAGCAATTAACTAACAAATGAGGGAAGAACAATTATTATTGTAGTAATATGGACATTTTTAATTTATTTTTATTTAATGTAATAATTTTTTTACATTTTAGATACGTAATTCTACTTCGTTCTTTTCCCACACATTTATGTATACGTGTTTGCTTGTACCGTAAAGGCTCCAGAGGATTTGGTGGACCTGATGCAGGATCTGCAGAACTGCATGGAGAAAGCCCAAGAAAAGAAATCCAAGAAGAAGACAACGGGTAAGAGACCACATATCCATAGGCAATGTGTCAAAGCCAATAAACCTTACTGAAGAGTTGTCTAAACCACCCCGGTCTTAATCTGTGACAGGGAAGGAAGTACTCATTCTCCATAAATTGAACAATGAAAACCATCTATTTGGCTAGTTCCCCTCCATACTCTTTCACAGTTTTACGGTGACAGTAAGGTTTGATAAATACCACCCTCTATGTTTAATATGGTAGCCCTTGGTGTGATGTCTCTGGAACCATATGTCCTCCGTTCATCCAGGCACTGCAGCAGCAGAAGGAGTGGAGCCCCACTGGGCTGAGGTGGTAGTGGACATCCTGCTCTCCCTCCTGTCCCAGCCCAGTAGACACATCCGCCACGTCTGCAGGACTGTCTTCTCCAACATCTGTCCCCACGTCACCGCCAGAGCCCTCACTGCCATCTTGGATGTAAGTGTTTGAGAGAATGTGAAGGTTTCCTGTAAGATAGACTAGAGAATACTGTACTGTTACAGAGCTGTAGTTTTGATATGTTACATTCAAATATTACATTGTGTTCACTGAAGGTAACTTTTGTTGATTTGTAAAAGTACATGTTAGTATATTACAGGAATGTCCATTAATTAGATGCATTGTGTATTTAGGTTCTGGACCCAGATAAAGATGAGGAGGACAGTGCCGTCGTGGTGACGGATGATAAAGACTCAGACAAGATAAAGAAAGACAAAAAAAAGAAAGGAGAGGAGGATGAGGACGATGAGGAAGAGATGGAGGTCAGATCAGTTCTTTCACACCTAGTCACGTCCAAAAAACTTAAGTGTATTCTAAAGAATATTATAAACCGGGTAGTTCGTGCCCCGAATGCTGATTGGTTGAAAGCCGTGGTATATCAGACTGTATACCACAGGTATGACACAAATTACTTGTTTACTGCTCTAATTACGTTGGAGACTAGTTTATTATAGCAATAAGGCACCTCGGGGTTTGTAGTATATGGCCAATATACCACGGCTAAGGGCTGTATCCAGGCACTCTGCGTCATGCCAATATTCCACACCCCCTCGGGCATTATTGCTTAAATATATCCTTCATTTTAAACAATGTCCTAGCATCCCATAAGAGTGATTGCTTATATTTGAATGTAAACATACTCATCCTAAATATGTATTACTTGCTTCCCCAGAATGAGGAACAGTCGGATGAATCTGATGATGACTCTGATGAGGAGGAGGGTGAAGATGAGGCCATGGAGGAAGGGGGCGAGGTGGATCAGAACTTCCGAATTGAGCTGATGAAGGTCCTACAGAACCAGGGTGCTCTGGTAGGTGTTTTCTTGCCTGTGATTGGTATTTTGTTCTAGCTCTGGGTTTGTATTTACCGGTAACTCTTAGTTTTCAAGGTTTCACTTCTAGTGTTCAAGAAATTGTTTTTTAGCCCTCATTTTTTAATGCATTTTGTAGTAAGTCTCTCTGGATAAGTTTCTAGTGGTTTCAAGGTTACATTGAAATTCTCTCTGAAGTGGAGGATTCAAAAGCAGAGACATGGTATTCTAGACATTAACTGGACTGGGTCGTTCTTCCTGCCTGTCACAGGCCACAGACGAGGACGGCAGCGATGATGACGAGCTGGACGATGAAGCCATGATGAAGCTGGACAGCAGCATCGCAGCACTGTTCCTTGAACAAAAGAAGAAGATGCAGGCCAAGAAGGACGAGAAGGACAAGCTCAAAAAGGAAAAGACCCTCGTCAGAGACTTCAAGATCAAGGTATTCACATGACAAGACGACTATTTCTGTCTCATCTGTTTGGATACAGAAATGAGTTGTAAGAGTGGAAGGTGTGATGTGCTGTTTCCAATGCTCGTACTAGTATTAGTTTCAGGGCACATACTAATAACTTTGTTACACTAGCTATGAGCAGTGCTATTTCTAACACTGCCTCTCTTGTTCTTCTGGTGCTGGTCCCCCCCTATGTTCATGGTGTGCTGACCCTGGTCCTTTGCTGTGTTCCAGGTGCTGGACCTGGTGGAGGTGTTCCTGGCCAAGCAGGGCAGCAGCCCCCTGGTGCTGGGCATGGTGGAGCCCCTGCTCAGCGTCATCGAGAGCGGCATGAGCTCTGAGAGCGACCAGCAGGAGCAGGACTTCCTCCGCAAGGCCGCAGACATCTTCAAGTACGTCATGCTAATGCCTTTAGACGCATACACAGGAGACTGGCTCAGATACATACCCACTACCCTCAGACACATGCACAGGAGACTGGCTCAGATACATACCCACTACCCTCAGACACATACACAGGAGACTGGCTCAGAAACATACCCACTACCCTCAGACACATACACAGGAGACTGGCTCAGAAACATACCCACTACCCTCAGACACATACACAGCAGACTGGCTCAGATACATACCCACTACCCTCAGACACATACACAGGAGACTGGCTCAGATACATACCCACTACCCTCAGACACATACACAGGAGACTGGCTCAGATACATACCCACTACCCTCAGACACATACACAGGAGACTGGCTCAGATACATACCCACTACCCTCAGACACATACACAGGAGACTGGCTCAGATACATACCCACTACCCTCAGACACATACACAGCAGACTGGCTCAGATACATACCCACTACCCTCAGACACATACACAGCAGACTGGCTCAGATACATACCCACTACCCTCAGACACATACACAGCAGACTGGCTCAGATACATACCCACTACCCTCAGACACATACACAGCAGACTGGCTCAGATACATACCCACTACCCTCAGACACATACACAGCAGACTGGCTCAGATACATACCCACTACCCTCAGACACATACACAGCAGACTGGCTCAGATACATACCCACTACCCTCAGACACATACACAGCAGACTGGCTCAGATACATACCCACTACCCTCAGACACATACACAGGAGACTGGCTCAGATACATACCCACTACCCTCAGACACATACACAGGAGACTGGCTCAGATACATACCCACTACCCTCAGACACATACACAGCAGACTGGCTCAGATACATACCCACTACCCTCAGACACATACACAGGAGACTGGCTCAGATACATACCCACTACCCTCAGACACATACACAGCAGACTGGCTCAGATACATACCCACTACCCTCAGACACATACACAGGAGACTGGCTCAGATACATACCCACTACCCTCAGACACATACACAGCAGACTGGCTCAGATACATACCCACTACCCTCAGACACATACACAGCAGACTGGCTCAGATACATACCCACTACCCTCAGACACATACACAGGGATGCAAAGTCGTCGCATTCCGCCGTTCTGATCTCAAAATAGGCCATCCACGTGAATCATGTAGATCTGAATAAAACTTTTTTTGCGCGTGTGGATGAAGAGGTCTTTTTTTTTTTTTTTGGGTGTTTTCCAGGTTGGCAAAGTTTTGGAAAATGATCAAATCCAAAAGGTTTAGGAAAAGTCATGGAAATTATTAATTTCTATTCATGTATTTATTTAGGCACAGTTTTTTACTATTTTATCAATCAAATAAAAATCAACATCAGCCAGAATCGGAATGACACTAGCGCATCTGTGTTTGCGCGCATCACCTGCATATTTGCGAGAGGAGTGGGCCGTTGCATCAGCAGGTAGGTCTATAAAATATGATAGAGAACAGATTAACTAGGTAGCCAATTCAAAACATATTGTACCCTCTAGTTAACTGTTTAGCTATTATTAGCATGTATTAATGTTTTCATCATGTCCCAAAAAAACAACACTTGCAAATAAGGCCATACAAAGTTTGAACATTTCATATGACTCATTTAAATGATTATTTTTGATGAAACGAACGATTCATGTTACCATTCTATTAGTTGGGATTCGGTTCAATCACGGTGAATGTAATCATGTGAATAAAAATAAAAATGTGTGAATCATGAACATTTCATTGTAGAAATAAATATTAGATGTTGCCTTTCTTTTGGATCATGTGGCTTCAAAACTTGTTTTGTAGATACTTCCAGTTGATTTGAGCATCCAATGTATGGTACATTGTAACTCAATAGATGCTAGTCAGCCTGCAAAGTAAACACTTCTAATGTAGCTAAGATAAATATGACTAAACTAGAAAAGGTACATTTCCTGAAAATGTGTGGGCTTGTTTCAGCTGAATAAAAAGATTTGTAGCCTACCATAGCCATTTCATCTTTTGAGATTTTGAATGAGCGAATTATTTAAAAAGGCACAAAACATATTTGGTTGTAATGTTGCAATGTTTTACATCAAGGGTGGTCAACCATCCTCCAGGAGAGCTAATGGTTGTGCAGGCTTTTATTCCAGTCTCCCTCTAACAAACCACATTTTAGAAATGAGCTGCTCAACTAGACCTTGATAAACTGGCTTTGATGTGTTTGAGTAGCTCTCCAGACTGAGGGCTGACCACGTGTTTTATACAGTTGCCTAACAGGTATTCTACTTTGGGGGCCTCCCAGTGTCGATACTACATTACACATACTTTTTTATACAGTGCCCTCCGTAATTATTGGGACAGTGACACATTTTTTGTTTTGGCTCTGTACTCCAGCACTTTGGATTTGAAATGATACAAGTGAGAAAGTTAGACGCACAAATCATACCCCCAAAACATGCTAACCTCTCACAATTACAATAACAGGGGAGGTTAGCGTTTGAGGGGGTATGATATTTCTGCATCTTAACTTTCTCACTCATCATTCAGGACTATCCACAATCATGGTAGCATGCACATTTAAATTAAAGCTGACAGTCTACACTTTAACCTCATAGTTATTGTATCATTTCAAATCCAAAGTGCTGGAGTACAGAGCCAAAACAACTAAATGTGTCACTGTCCCAATAATTACGGAGGGTGCCGTATGTACATGGAGACGCCGCCAATTGTTGATAATGGAAATTTGGTTAAAAGTCATAATTCCATCTGTCAAAATGCATATGAATCCTGCATATCGAAATCATTGACTGAGCACAGAATGCATCCCTACTCGTCATACAAAAAATAATATCAAATAAAAGAGTTCAGATTGTGATGTTAGATATGTCATATCAGGAAGTTACAGGTAGTTTCGCAAGCCAATGTAAACTAGTGTTAGCGCAATGACTGAGTCTACAGGTACAGTAGCATACTAAAAGTTAATGAATAAAAGGTTTGAGTGTTCCATGCTTAAATCAGGCACAATGTACCCTCAAATGAGTCACTTGTGAGACAAATGTTCAGCTGCCCCTTTAAGGAAGTTGGAGGTAGTGCACTATAAAGGGGATAGAATATAGGGATAGGGTGCCATTTGGACATAACCGAGGAGTGATTGGAAGCGATGGATCCACTTGGATTGTTCTCTAGCGTAATAACTCATTAACAAACACTATTATACAGAGCTCTACTGCACTAACATTTTTTACAAGGAGTACATGTAATCCTAAATAGAACATTTTAGGAACACAATGAAAGTGAAAATGAAATTTATATTATTAAGTATTTGAGGAAGTGTTTTAATGACAAATGACATTAATACTGTTAACGCAAAGCAATGTGTTAGATGTAAGACAGGATGTGTTTTACTTCTCTTTATGCACCTATATAGAACAACTTGTCAGGTGCAGGTGCATTGAAGACTGATCAATTCCTGTCTGGGGAGACAGATTATCATTGTCATGTCAACGGTTTTCCAGTATTATTCTGCCACACTGATCAGTCAGTAACATCCTCTACGCTCTCCCCTCCCCCCTCCTCCCCTCCAGGAACCAGCTATGCCGGGCCAAGCAGTATTGTAAGACCGTAGGTGACAGACAGGGGGAGCTCCACGACCTACTGGAGAAACTCATGACCAAAGCCCAGAAGCTCTCTGACTCGTCAGTGTCACTCTACTTCTTCAGTGCATCTCTGTACCTGGTCAAAGTGCTGAGAGGGGGGGTGCCTGGGGCCTCAGCAGATGGCAAGACAACACTATCTACTGAGGAGGTAAGCCTCTTTACCTTTCAAATTTCACTACAGTGACAGAAGTTGGTCCTTAACCAACCCCTTGCATTAATGTTGATAGGTTCAACATTAACCTCACATCTGTTGATAGGTTCAACATTAACCTCACATCTGTTGATAGGTTCAACATTAACCTCACATCTGTTGATAGGTTCAACATTAACCTCACATCTGTTGATAGGTTCAACATTAATGTACGCTGAGTATTTACTATTAGCGTGTCTTTTGTGTAAAACCAACCTGTTGATATGCTGAAATCTCCTTGTGCTGCAGCTGAGGTTCATGGGTAACGTGGACGTGGAGAGGGTGTCGGACATCTTTAAAGGGGCTCTGTGCTCATTCATGACGCGCAGGAAGAGCCCTCTGTCAGGCCTGATGTTCATCGACCTCTTCACCCGCTTCCCTGTGAGACAACGGCAACAACACTCTTATTCTATCCACACTGCCCTCTGATTTCAAGAGACTGTATAAACACTTGAAGATAAATAATGTTTTCCTCTTGTGGCTGGTGTCAAGTAGTCTGTTGGCTGGTGTAACCGTGATGCTATTGGAGGTTGATTATCTTCTGTTGTGTGTAGGTTCTGTGTGTGAACATATTGGAGACTGCAGTGGAACACATCACAACAGGAATCCGAGAACACCAACAGGTAAGACTAGCAGGCTCCTCACCTCAACAATTAGGAGTAAAAAGCATCTAACCCTGGGTCAACTTCTACCAGCTCCACTTTTACAGTGATGACTGACCTAACTCTTCCCAGCCAATGGTCCTTTCAGCCTGATGGTAAATACCACTGATCTGCAGAATAACATCTGCACATTGAGGGTTTGACTTTGTATGTATGTGCCACAGAGCCAAGCCAGTGCCATGGTGCTGCGGGCGCTGCAGAGCAGGGAGGTACAGCAGCTGTTGGCGGGCGACCCCTGGGCAGGGCTGCTTCAGAAGGCGGTGGGCCAGGTGGCAGCGGTAGGCATCAAACACCTCACCCAAGCTTAGACATTAGAGAACGTGTGAAACCCCACAGTGCACCATACTGCAATCCATAGGAATCAATCTCTAGATCACATCAGAGACTTGGCATCATTACTATAAAGCATGGGGAAAAATCATGATATCACATTAATAAACTCTGATCAACTATCAATTGATTTTCATGCAGTTCAATCTATAGGTTTCACTTAGATGATAAATCATCTGTCTCTCCCTGGGCTTCTGATTTAGAAGATGTTACTGATATGGTTGTGGATGTTGTTCTCCTCAGAGTCTGGAGACTGTAGTTGAGACCGGTAAGAACAAGGTGGTCCAGGAGAAGTTGGTCAAAGCCCTGGAGCTTGGCCTGTTCCTCGTCAAAAACGTCAACCAGCAGGTAAACCAACTCTAATTTTACCACATCCTACTAAAATGTGAGGATTTCTTAACCCACCTTTGTCTCCTGTGTTTTACAGAAACTGTCTGTGGCTCTTGAGCCCCTCAAGAAGGTTCTTCAGTCCATGAGAGAGGTTCTGGGCTTCAGGAAGACAGGCCAGATGGAGGACACCTACTGGGCCCTCATGAAACACTTTGGAGTCATGTGAGTAACTCCGCCACAGGATGACTTTATGCAGTTACAGTACCATGTCATTGGGAATTAATAGTACCAACAATACACTCATAGTAACATATCATCATTGAGACCTACTTGACAGGTTTTTCTGTTGTTGGATGTGAGAAATGTTGAAACTTTCCACTATTTCAGATAATTGATAAGAGCTGCAGTGGCAGTATACCCACAGAGCAGGTTGGTTAGTAGTCCTTTTAGGGCCCCCCAAGGGGTTATCAAACTTTTTGGGGGCGGGTGACCCCTTTTTACATTTTTGTCATTTAGCAGGCTCTTACCCAGAGCGTCTTACAGGCGCAATTAGGGTTAAGTGCCTTGCTCAAGTGTACGTCGGCTCGGGGCTGTAACCTTTCGGTTACTGACCCAACGCTCTTAACTGCTAGGCTACCTGCCACCCATTTGTGATAGCGAATTCATCGGGGACCCCGTCATAATCAGAACACAACTCGAGCAAAATACAAGGAGTTTTACTATGACTTTAGCAGTGCATGGCCAGATGAACCAAGTCTCGGGCCCTGGGAAGGAATATTGTAAATTCCTGCCTCTTGGCATCGGAGAGAAGATTTAGCAGTTTAAGCTAATTTCCTGCAAATCTACACATTTTGCCATGAGGCAGAGAGAACTTTGCGTACTGTGGATACCTATATCCCATGTTGCCCAGGGTCAGGAATATAAATTGTAGATTAATAATATTACATTGTAAACATATTCCACAGAAAATGTGTTTAATCTGTTAACTAAATTATTTTTAATGAACATTTCTAACGTTTTATTTTGAGATCTGGCACTGCAGTACCGGGTCCACAGACCCCACTTTGCGAACCCCTTCTCTAATACCACGTTTTTGTGGCTCCATCTTTAACAGAAAGCCCAAAAGAGACAGGACCAGGAAAACCAAGGAGGACCAGGCTGAGCCGACCGCTCCCAAGAAGAAGAAAGGATTCCTGCCTGAGACCAAAAAGAGAAAAAACCGCAAGAAGCAATTGCCCGTCTCTGAGCAGGGGGCAACAGATGCCAACACAGTCCCCTTGGGGAAACCAGAGGGAGGGAAGAAGAAAAGGAACAAAAACAAGAGGAAACAGCCAGGAGGAGGAGAGACACCTGGACAGGGGCTGGCCAAGAAGGCCAAGATGACACAGTCTGCAGGCAAACAGAAGAAAAAGAAGCAGCAGGGAGGTGGAGGAGAATAAAGTGGACTATCTAGACTGTATGTGTGTGTACTTAGACCCGGTCCACACAGGTTCTACAACTGATGTAAAATGCATTTGTACAAACATTGTTGTATCCCAACAGTTTAGTTAAATGCGTTGTACATCAGTTGCATAACCTGATGTGAACAGGGCCAGAGAGAAAGCATGTGGTTGTGAAGATGTGGCCTCACTAAGTTTTCTGTTATATTTTTCATACAAAGTCATGGTGAGAGAGGTTTGTGGCCTTAGGCTGTGGACAGTGCTAGATTGTCTCTTGTGTTCTTCAGTCTATGTAACCCCCCCCCCCCCATGCATAATGTTCTCTCATCTGGAGTGTTCACAAGCATATGAACTGGTAAGATGTTATGTATTAAAGTAATAATTCGTCATTTGTTTGTCATTGGCCAGGATTCAATTAGATCATGCTTTGTTGGTTATGCGCCATTTAATGGTCATTTCTGATTTAATGGAAATATGCAACGTCTACCTTGAATGGACATGGCGTGAATCCCGACCTTTGGCATTATGCTAGTAAACCTCAAGCCTATAGAATGTGTGGCACATGGTAATGATACTGCTTTTATTGATATTAAACATTTCATACAGTAAGTCACAGAACAGAATTTGGGACGGTGTTCACTTTAATATTTGGTTGCTAGTTGAATGTGTTCTTAGTAATTCTTCCAAAACAGGGTTCCATCTCAACCCTATGATGCTGGGTCTCAGTAGGCGATTCTCTGGTCTGTCCTGTTTGTCCTCAGTACACTGTTGAGACTGGAAGAGAAAGTGGTCCAATGAGGAATGGTCTGCGTTGCACCTCAGAAGGTAAAGGGACAATACACTCAAATAGTCAAATAACAAGATGAGTCCATGTCCCAAGCGATCAGTTGTGTAGACCCAGCTACAGTATATGCATCAACCCCAAATAAATAGAAAAGTACAGCAAATCTAGAAATAACAAGTTATCTTTTCCATTAATTTTTGCTTATGGATGGCCTGCGACATGGACTTACAGTATCTTAACTTTGAGTTTGGAATGTGACTCAATAGGTAAAAGAGAACGTTTTTCAGGAGGCATTACAAATAATGCTAGTTCATAGAGTTGGGAGCTGTACTCACGTGCACTGCTGCTCAGGCTGGAGGACATGTAGCTGCTCCTGCCTCCTCCCAGCCCGAGAACGCCTCCGTAACCGCCCCTTCCAAAGCCACCCATGCCCAGACCCCCTCCAAAGCCGCCCATTCCGTAGCCACCGCCCAGACCCATCCCACTGCCACCACCACTGCCTCCTCCCAAGGCCAGCCCAGCCCCACTTCCTCCGCCTCCCCCTCCTCCAATGGCTGTCTTAGACATGTGCACGGTCACACCTCCTCCTGACTTCAGTCTGAAATGATACGCATCACAAATACATAACTATCATAGATGTAGTACTTCAGAGAGCATCAATCAATGCTTAAATGGTTGCAAATGTGGATGATGTGTGAGACCCTACTCTCTTACCTGGTCTCTTCACTGTCTAGGAGCTTCTTGTATGCAGTGATCTCAACATCAAGAGACATTTTACTGGCCAGGAGTTCCTGGTACTCTTGACCATAGTGTGTTATTTGCTGTAAGAAGAGAATGATTCATAGGTTATGCTGCACATGAAAGTGGCTCATATCAGGGTTGAAATCAGTGTTTTTTAACAGGTGTATATCTGTGGAGGACTCCGAACCCCATCCTTACCTTTCTGATGTCATCAAGCTGTGACTTGAGGGTCAGCACCTGCTCCTGATAGGTCTCTGTGTGGGAGCTGGAGTGGGACTCTGCCTCATCCACCTGAGAATCCAACTGGATGTTCTACAATGGGAGAGGTCAGGCCTGATTATTTAACACTGTGGTGAGCATTTATTAGGTTCTGTGTAATCTTGGTTAACCCAGAACAAAAATTGTGCGTAATTTGGTTAGATGCTCCATAGTCCGTCCACGAGAGAATAGGTTCTGTCATGAGATACTACTGTGATACTTCCCCTCATACTTTATGAAATGTATAAGATAAGCATTTTCTTTGAGACAACATTGCATATCAACAGCTCAGATTAGGTAGTAATCCTACCAGGGTCTTGAGCCTGTCGATCTCCCTCTGTACTGAGTCGATCTGCAGTTTGTACATGCGCAGCTCCTCTTTGGTTTGGGACAGAGTCTGGGTACTGGGCTGGGATGTCATGGACATCATGGAGAGCTGGGGTTTGACATTTAGAAAAAGGAGATGTTACATTTCCATGGTGCCCTCGCCAGTCTTAAAGTCTAACATTTGGGGTTGGATGATGGAAGGCAATGTTCTAACAGAGATAGTCCTGTGTAGGCTAAAACATACAGCGTATTGAGTGCAATACTAAGAACATCTACTTGAGGGGGAACGTAACACAGGGATAGGAATAAGAGACAATGGATGTCGTACTGGTTCCAGTGGTGTTTGCAAAACCAGTTATTATTTTTGCAATCAGTTATCGGTAGATACTGCCTGGCAGACTTCAGATAATGCAATATAAAGTTAACATAATACTAGATAGACCCCGTGTAGCTCAGTTGGTAGAGCATGGCGCTTGCAACGCCAGGGTTGTGAGTTCGTTTCCCACGGGGGGCCAGTATGAAAAATGTATGCACTCACTAACTAAGTTGCTCTGGATAAGAGCGTCTGCTAAATGACAGAAATGTAAAAATGTAGACCAATAGAGAGAATGCAGACAAGATACTGCTGCAGGGTACATACACTGTCCTGCACAGACACCAGGGCATCCTGCTTGCTGCGCTGGGCCAGGGCTTCGTAGTGGGCCTTGACGTCCGTCAGGGCAGAGGTCAGGTCCTGGGCCTGGGCCGCGTTGTCCACTGAGATGGAGAAGGCTGACTTCACACTACCCGTCACAATGTTCCTCACCTCCTTCACTTTCTACAACACAAAGCGCAACAGTAATGTCTTTACAGTTGTTTTAACCTTCCTTGTGGATATGACAACATATAATAAAGCAATTGTTTAATGAGCATACTACTATCTGAGCAGTGATTGACAGTCACAACTGAACTCTGGAACACATTGGGTGCAACATCTGTTGGGCATGTAGCCTTTATTTGAACACGGTCCAATGTGGCTTTGTTGATCCCCATTAATACTGTAATCTACTGTAACAGTGTTGTTTTTGTTGCACTTACAGACCCATAGTCCCTCCTGTGTACCAATTAAGCTGTTTTTAAGGGTACAGAGAGAGTCACACAGGATCTGTAATGTAAATTCTTAATGTTGTGAACTTATGGAAGGTCAGGTTCTGCAGTGGGTGATTTTAGTGAGCGAGGGAAGGAGACAAGCAGCGGTGCTTAGTGTTGAGTGCTGGCTCTCGGCTTGTCTAAACTCCATAATTGATGGGGAGACATTTTAATTCAGCGCCTGGGCAGGGGAGCATCTTCAGAAGGCTCGGGAAGGAATGCTTTTACTGGTCGAGTACAGGTGCAGATAAGGAACAGTGCATATGTAGAATTCAAATAAAACTATCGCCGGGAAAGTGAACCAAGAGGAAAACACGCTTCAATGTTTGCTCATTTTTTAGAGTCTAAATGTGCACTGAACCCCCCCATGCAAGTTTAGCCAGAATGTTGGAATTTTCCAGTAAAATAGTTATGTTATCATGTCATGTACTCACAGCGTCATACACCTGCTTTGAGAGACTGATCTGATCTTCCAGTCCACCGATGTTGGTTTGAAGCTCGAAAATGACAAGGTAGAGATTGTCCACCTCCTTTTAAAGCATGGGAATAGTAGTTTTCGTAGCCATAACAGGATGTCATTCATTATTTCAATTATTTGAATCAGCGGAGGTTGGTGGGAGGAGCTATAGGAGGACGGGCTCATTGAAATGGCAGGAATAGACTAAAGGGAAAGGAGTCAAGTCAGGTCTCCATATGTTTGATAGTGTTTGATTTATTCCCTTCCAGCTATTACAATGAGCCTGTGCATTAACGCCTCCCACCAGCCTCTGTTTGACTAATCCTTCAATAGTTTGACAACGCCATGATGTATCCATACCTCTTTTAATGTGGTCCAGTCCATCTCTAATGACTTGGTTTGGGCAGTCTCCTCCTCAAACCTTTCAACATAAAACCAATAGAAGGTTTTATATCAATTAACTTTCAGTCAAATATATGCATTAGGTTTCATATCATCAATGTCAACAATTCTGCTTCATGAGTTTAAAGGATAATATATTGTGTACTCGGCTGAAACATGTGGGTATTTGTTATTCATTTTCGCAGTATCAATTGAATCTCAAGCTGTGTGATGATTGGATACAGATTCTCTTTAGATCAAAAGTGTCAAGACTGCTGCTGGAGAACAACGAAGGCTATTATTAGATTTTGCTCCAACTGAGCATTAAAAGCATTGATCTGCCGAGGTAATTATAAAGCAAAGTCACAACACCTACATGAGGCTGAGAGCCTTCTCTCAGCCCTGGTGCAGCCAGCAGATTATTCATGTATTGAACACTACAGACTAGTAGACCCCACTGTATGTACTGTATTGTGGATTCACTGCTGTGTGTGGTATTGTGTATGTAGTCTATTTACTGTACTGTGTATTATAGGGTCACTGATTATTTCATTATGGTCACACTGTATTGTGAGGTAATCGACCCTAACCCCACTCAACCTGCTCTGGACGTCGTCGATGAGGCTCTTGTAGTGCTCGATCTCGGCAAGGATGGCCTCCTTGGTGGCGGACAGGCCATCGATCTGGGTCTTGTAGGTGCCGATGGCGGAGGTGAGCAGGATGGAGGTGCTGACAGGGCCGCTCTGCTCCGGGTTGGTGAACATGGAGATCTTGGTCCTCAGCACAGCGTTGGTCTGCTCCAGAGAGCGAGCCTGGGGACCAGAGAGCGAGAGAGACAGATCGATGAATACAGTACACACATTGATTTCTATTAGGTTAACACACAGACATACAGTCTGGTGATGATCCTCTCTGGTGATGTTCCTCTCCAAGAATGGGTCTGAATTTCAATGAGCTTGATTGATTTTGGACATTGATGTTCAGGACATTCCAATGGGCCGTTTTTATTTTGTAAGATCAAATCACATGCACAATATACAACCGATACATGCGTAATATGTTTTAGCATGGAAACAATGTTGAATGCATACATGAGCATTGCTATCAATTCCAAAACAAGGTGAATCTGATCCTATCCTCAACTGGGTTTCGATTGAAGCACAGACATTAATTATGGTCTGTCAATCCACATCTGTATGAAAAGTCCTCACAGGTTATAAAAGGTAACACCCTCACAGGATTGGGGTGTGGAGGATGTTGATGGGTAGAGGATACTGATCAACATAATGTTAATCATTTTGTTTGTTCAAGCAGAAATACAAATATTGAGTTTAATTTGGTTGTTCCGAGTACAAAGAGTTTACACATGGGGCCATATTTATGCATAGATAATTATTGTAATCTCAAAGTGCACTTAAAATATTACTGTGATAGAAACATTTAATACAATTTCATTAAAAGTCAAATATAGTGGCTAAATACCAACATCAATTTTCACTGATTATAGCCATGAAATAATACTGCCTGTATGACGTGTTTGTGTGACATACCTTGTCAATGAAGGTGGCAAACTTGTCATTGAGGACCTGCAGCTCCTCCTTTTCCTTTAGGCGGGTCACCTGGACTGTGTCGAGGGAGGGCAGCGATGGGTCGATGCTGGGCACAGGGCTGACACCACCCACTGCGGCGGTGGAGCTCAGGAAGGACGGGTTGAAGCCATAGCCTCCGATCTTGAAGACGCGGCCGCCCAAGCGAGCCCTGAGTGGGGCCACTCCAGCCCTGAACCCTGCTTCCCCGCCACCTCCACCTCCTAGAGCCAGGGCACGTCCACCCATTCCCATCCCAAGACCTCCACCTCCGCCTCCACCACCCATTCCCATACCCAGGCCTCCCCCCATTCCCATTCCCATGCCTATCCCCATCCCGAGCCCTCCTCTCATGCCGAGCCCCGTTGCTCCACCCCCCCCAATTCCAAAAGATCTGGAGAGGGCCAGTCCGGCCCCTCCGCCACCACCTCCACCGCTCCTGCCTCCAGAGAAGAGCCTGTTGCCCCCATAGGTGGCACCGAACCTCACCGCCCCCCCACTGATTCTCAGGTTAGTCTCAGCCATGTCAGCAGCATCAGCAGCCTCAAAGCTGGGGTGTCCAAGATCAGAGTTCTCTAGTCATAGACAGACAGACTGCCAGCCTCCCAGGGGTTTATATACACTAGGGCCCTCTTAAGGGGGCAGCTGGCCTCCCTGGCTGCCAATTCGCTGGGGAGGCGGCTCACGTCACTGCAGGTAGCTGGGCTCACAGGCAGGCCAGCGTCTGCCCGACAGGCACTCTACTCCCACAGATGTCGGGAGAGATACCGCTGCCCCGCAGGCGACCAGGGACTGATGTCTTTCCAGAAGCTAAGCCTCCCTGACTCGTGTTGCCTTGGCATTTGATGGATATTTATCATATGTTTTTCTCCACAATAAGGGTGCACTTACTTCAGCTCTTTCACTAAAGCCGTTTAATTGCCTGGCAAGGACTGATCCCGTTTTATCTTAGTGTCGTGCTATCGAGACGGCATTTTTGGAGATTGTACCACTTCACTGAGGGCTTCGCTCATAAATCATTCACCGGGATCACTGCACATTCTTGGATGAGCAGCAGGGCCTTTGACAGAGGCATATGGTATGCAACATGCTGCAGCAGACTATAGGAGATTTAGCATTCTACCCACCAGGAGGGTGGTAGTGGATGGGTGGGGATCCACAATATACAATGTACAGTAAAAATGCTTTTTAACACCTAGAAAAGTGCATTCCAAATCAATCATCCTTTTGATTGGACCGAGTTCAGTTCTAGGTCATCTCCTTTGTCCAATCCACTGGGCTAAAACTTGTCCATACACATATCAGCCCTAATGGCGAAAAAGTAAACATGCAGCTCGTGTTGAGTTTTTGCCTTCCTTATAACCTTGTAACGCAAATACAATCACAAAGAGTAAATAGCAGGAATCTATTTGTCCCCACAGTCGCCAATGAGAGGAGTCTGTGGACAGCTCCGGTGAGAGACTCCCAACAGCAGTGCATCCTGTAGGAGCTGGAGCCCAGCCAGGGATTTATTTTATTTAACCTTTATTTCTCCAGGCGAGTCAATTAAGAACAAATTCTTATTTACAATGATGGCCCCAGGGCTGGTCTTTGAGGAAACAATTAGGAACATGCTCTTCTGGCACCTGGCCAAGGGCCTCAGTCCCACTGGGAGTGAATGCTCCTGGGGGTCATCACTAGTTACCACAGCCACAAGGTCATTAACCTGCAAATTTCTACAATTTGTTCTTAGCATTATTCTAACCCTAACATTAACCATACTGCTAACCTTATGCCTAACCCTAAATTAAAACCAAATAGCACATTTTTGTTTTCATGAATTTTTATGATAGCCAATTTTGACTGTGGCTGTACTATCCATTGGAAACCAACGCCATCGACATGTTAGAGAACATGTCAAAGCACTCAATGATCCAATCAGAGGAGAGGTAGGTGTGACTTTAGATTCAATAAGGTCAAGGAACCCCTTGGGTTACTGAGAGCCAAGGTCGATTTAAGACATATTTTAGTTGAATGCGTTCACTTGTGCAACTGACTAGGCATCCCCTTTCCCTTCCCTTTGTTTGAGAGGATCCATCCATTCTACCCTCAAAGTGAGGCTCAGAATGCATAAGGGTTTTCCAGCGTCACAATGTTACATTTACATTATAGGCTACCTGTAATGGGAATATTTAAGATGAATAAAGTTCATATTCGGTTAAGAGTAATTAACACAATGCTTAGCATATTTATGTTTTCCCTTTCTGTAATACACATTATTTCCAGTGTTCTATTTGTTACACTCATTTGTGTAGGCCGGGTTGGTGGTCACTAGACTTGATACTGAATGTTCTCATATCGTTTGACAGTGATTGAAGCCAGAGTTACTGAAGGTACAAGGACCGATGACACTGATTATTATTGTATTGATGATTTTATGAACACTGTGATTCTGTAGCAGCTGGCAAAGTCAATGGCTTTGTCCGAATACCCATAGGCCTACTTGCGTTCTAGATAGTAGGCATTTTAGGTAGGCCTATGTGACAAAAAAGCTGTATGTGAAATTTCGAAAGTTCAGCATGCTTTAAATGCTGGGATGTCATACCTATTTTGGCCTTTCATCTAGTTGTAGAATTCGCTGCACACTATTGAGGAAGAGAATCGTCTTTCGATACCTAAGTGTCTGACAACAGGTGATAATTAGCTGAATGGACGTGCTGTACCAAAATGAACAAATGGCTGGAATCAACGCAATTGCGGACTAGATGACACATTCTCAGTAGGATGAGCCTAGTGCAAACAGTTTACCTTGGCTATAGCCTAGTATGCGGATATTTGTTGCTTACTGCATTCGTTAACAGAAGGGTATACTACAAAGCAGGATCAAGGAGTTAGTTATCGATAGTTATCTCTGGTTGCTTATCAAAGTAGTATACCCCTCAGTACTTTCTAAATAGTATGTAGTACGATTAGTACACATCAGAGGAGGCTGGGAGGAGCTATAGGAGGACAGGCTCATTGTATTGGCTGGAATGGAGTCAAACGTGGTTTCCATATGTTTGATACCGTTCCATTTTCTTTCCTCCATTCCAGCCATTGCAATGAGCCCGTGCTCCTATAGCTCCTCCAGTACATAATATTCCTTTTTAGTAAGTAGTAGCCTAGGCAAGCCAGATTTCGGACAAGGCCACTGTCTTTGGTTTTGACTGACTTTATACAAGCGTCTCGCGCTGATGTGTAGATAACATTTGGTAGCCTACGGTCTGATTAGAAAGGTCCTGTCTCCAAGAGACCTGTTAGACATTTTCTATGCTTCCGTTCTGGAGGCGTCTCCCTGAATTATTGTATTACACTCTATTGATCTTTGATTGATATTATCAATGACTGCTCTCCTTTTTGTTCACCTGGACATTTTTTGTTACACAAATATTATTTTTGACATAACGTGGTTCAAGGTAGAAAATGAGACATACAATGTCACATGCATGACAAAGAAAAAAAGCAAAAAAATATTTATGATTCCCCATTTATTACATTTCAGAGGGTACATTATAAATACTGAAACTGCTATAGGCTATTAGGACTCACAGCTATCTGGCACATGAAAGTAAATTAAATCTCGAATAGTGCATTATTACAAACCAAACGCATTGTGCCCTACAAGAAGTCACACAAGCTAGAACCTACAGTCATCTTAAAGACATTTAAGAAAATATTGATGTCCTTTATATCAACAACCAATAAAAATGCATCATTTAAATTAAACTATGCATCTCTGAAAATAATTGTTTGAGGCCATTTCTAAATACAGTCTGCACTGCCTAACCGCAACACATGGCAACTTAAGCCTCTTGCCACACTTTTAAAGCCAAAAGCCTGAAGTAGGTTTATGAGACTTTGTCAAACATGACATAAAAGCTTTATTTGATAGCTCCTACAAAACGTTGTGAAAGGGTGCCATATAGCACATCCTCATCAGAGAGTCTGGTTCATTTTAAGGTTTCTTCCTACATCTACTTGCTCTTCGTTTGAAAGTGTTGTACAAATCAAATCAAATGGATTGATACTAAGAGGAATGCATGGTCGCCAGAGGATATTACATAAAATGTGCTATGTCACCCATTTCAAGCCTGACAATATAGCAACTGAATGATTTATAAAGTGAAGCTTGTTATGTGGCACTGGTTTTAAGAGGTTTGAGTGAATTTTTTGGGCAATATTTCTTTAGGTAAAAATCAAATTCTACCATTTGCAAGTCCAGTAGTAGAAATAGTCGCAGAAATAAATACTTGGACAACTAGCAATTTACATCTACACAACGAAATTGTGCTAGCGGCACATGAACGTATCTACATTTCAGCACCATGGATAGCGCTCTTTCTAGTGGGCCTGTCATTTCAGCACCACCGAAAGCGCTCTTTCTAGTAGCCTGTCTTCAATTTACAATACTTTACCAAATGGTCCTTTGCTGAAATTATTCCACAAATGTATTCCAATATACTGACGGATTTTACTTTTATACACGATTTACAAACGTGGCACATATCAATCCACTCGGTGTGATTTATGATGAAAATGGCAAACATAGTTCCTTGAGGTCGTAGTGTTTGTTTTTGTGCCATATTGCTTTTCCCAGTTAATCCCAAATTGATGTTGTTTCTTTGTCAGTTACACCTGAACTATAACGTGGATATATTGTCTATTTACAAAGTCCCAACACTTTCAATTGCAGAGTTATCAAGACAAGACGACCGTTTCCAGCACTTGTCCATCTCCTTGCTCAATGTGTGCCATATCCAATTCTGACGCATTATTTGCAATGGGTAAGGTACCGGGGTCTTCCTGAATGTGACAACTGGTATTTTGGACAGCGGAGTGTGGCCGGTGTTCGCCATCTCGAGGCGATGGTCGGACAATAATGCATGGTCTCGCCGGCTCTCTCTTCGCCTTGGTGGACGGGCTGCGGTTGTCACGCTCGTATTCCTCCTGGGCACGCTGGATCTTCCTCTTCTTCATCCTCCTCTTGTTAAAGTGAAATGCTGCCAGGGAAACCAATATTATCCCAATGATCATTGCCACCAGCACCATGAGCGCAAAGGTCGAGGAGAACGGTTGGAAGAAGCGGCCCATTTGGTCCATGCAGGTGCCGTTGGTTTGGGAAGCTCCGTTGTAGATGCACAGTGGTATGGAGAGACCCACATCCTCGGACTCCTTGTTTGTCATTTCGTTGGGCTTTGATTTTCACTTCAGGGTAGTAATATGTCCTCTCCAACCTCAGCGCGACGAGGCAAATGGAATCAAAGGCCTCGACTGTCCCATTAGATTTACCTAAATGGAAATTAAAACCCCGTTGAGATCAGAGTGGCAAACTGTTAGAATACATAAGCCAATGACATTGTGTAGCGAGACTACAGTGGTCTGCATATGCCATCCGTGTATAAGCTCGCCATTCACGGCACGCCCGATTAAATTATTTAAATAATTGAGAGAGCTATTAGGCGTGCGTAATTGCGCGTCAGCTTTGAGATTTCAACAAATTCATAGCTCCAGAACAGAAATCAGAATTATATTTGGACGCCAGAGACATGATTAAATTCCATACAATTCCAATCAGTTTACTGCAAAAGTTCCTATGTGAATACGGAAAGGATGCACTTGAGACGTGCATCTGCAGCATCCAGGCTACTACAATTCCAATTAAACGAATTTACTTACATGAAACAAGACATGGTCACCATGATGTAAGCTAGGCTAATTTCAAGAGGCAGAAATGTAAGAAA